CTCAATTTTGCTTCATAGTCCCTCGGCGATGCTTAAATCATTCTAAACTCATTTGCGAGCGGTCGTGGTACTTGTAGGTATTATGAGATATACGTTGGAAGGTAAATTCCTTGTTTACATATACATCATGTGTACACTGATCAGATCATTACATCATTACTAACGTGATAGTTAAGGTAGTCATATTGCAGGTCGGCCGAGTGCCTGTCAATTTTTTTTTTGAATTCATTATCGTTTTTGATATGACAATTTCTTCAGCATGGGACATTCCAATTGCTGACGGTTCTAAAGCTAAATGATTTCTTTTTGAGTTATGATCTACTTGCCGTTTATACAGTTTTAAGGCTATTGTATCTAATACATTGTGTGTTGCTATCTAGTTTTAGCCACGGGTATGGTGGGTCGTATTTCCATATGTAATCGCTTCTATAGACCTCGATCATATCACCTCAGTCTTCTTCTGTATAAAAGTGATGTAATTTTAACAGCGCTAGCTTTCATCATACGGCAGATTAGTTAACCCGGGTGGTACACGTTTGGTGGCATTTTGTTGTACGTCTCTATTTTCTTAGTGAGATCGATCTCATCTGATAATGGGCGCCCATACCGTATTACCGTATTTCAATTATGGGTCTTACCATGGATTTGAACAGTAATCTAAAAATATCTTTTGACATGTAATGGAAGGTGCGCATGATTATGCCGACTACTATGCACTACGCTGCGCACACTTTTGTGTTTATATGGTCTTCGAAGGGAGAGCGTTTTCCGTGCATAATACCAGATCTGCCTGTTGGCTCAACGAATTCCAAAAACCGACACTTGTTGTCGGCTTCCCCTCTCATTTTATAGCTAAAGTTAAGAGCGTGACTGTTTCCTAGTCTGAGTACTTTACATTTTTTAGGATGGAATTTCATCTGCCATGTACGCGCCCATTCTTCTAACCTATCCACGTCTTCTTAATGTTTTGACACACTTCTATGCTACTAGCCTTTGCCATTATAGTTTTGTGTTCGTCAGCGAATAGGGGATTTTGGTTTGTGTTATACCAACTGGGTCATTTATGATAAATGAATAATGCTGGGCAAGTACACTGCCTTGAGGCACGGGCACTTTGTTACTGTAATTGGTGTGTGAAACGCTCACCATAATCACCACTCTTTGTTCTCTGTTGCCAAAGGTATTTTTTTAATCCAGCAAAGTGTGTTACCTCTGATCCCCAGGATTCTAACTTACTTGGTTAGGTCACGGGATCTCCCTAACGTTGCGCAAACGGCGTCCGCGCGCGCCCGTTTTGGGAAAACTCCCCCCTGTTTCAATCGTGTTGCGCCCCGTTTAAATTACCTCGCCCCGTTTAAATTCACACTACAATAAAGTTTGACATCGATCGTCAAGAATTCCCATTCGCACCAGGACCACGCAACGCGTGTATTTTAGACCGTACCACGCATCTGCACTGCAGACCATACACAATTACAAACGGTTAACCTGTCCCGGACACACACTAACTGTACAGCAGACTCGGCTATCTTATATATACAAGAACCCCAAATACCGTCTATGGGTGTGGCGGTTTTATGCATTATTTAGTGGTACCGTAAAAAAACACGCCCCCCGCCGAACCCCCCTATTTTCCCTCCCCTCCCCCTCCCCCTCCCTATTTCGATTTATCTGCGGGGAACCCTGTAGGTGTCCGTGTGGACCTTGTCAAACGCTTTTCTGAAAGTCGAAGTATACTATATCTATGGGCTCTCTGGCTTCGAGTGATTTCTTAATATTACTGTGGACCACTGGGGCAATCACCTCTGCTAGCTCCTTTAGGATGCAGAGGATGGGATGTTATCTGGGCCTGGTGATTTGTTTGCATCTAGTTCTTTTAGTCTTTGGCCACATCGTTAACATCTATGTGAACATCGGCGAGCTGTCTTTTCATGTTGATTAATTACTAAGCATATTTGAAGTATCCTCCATAATAAATATGCTACCGCAGTATTTATTTTAGTAACTGCTGGCTTTTTCTAGGTCAGTGATGGCATTTTTGTCTTTTGTTTTTAGAGAGCAGGCCTTATTTAACTTGCCTCGTTAGATGGCGCGCGGGCAGGTCAATACAAATGGCCTCACTCTCGTTGTGAATTTGTCAGCATCTGTCCGCGTCAATGCCGTCAGAGACAAATGGTTATTCCTATCTATGCTGACAAATTCGTGATCTACAGCTAACATCGAACCGTCCACATAAGTGTTTCCCATCATGCCTGCCGTGAACTGTCCAGTTGCTGGGCTGCGAGTACAAGACTGGGGACGTTGATCCTGCAATCGTGGTACAGTTTAGCTCCAGCATACATTCGACAGCGCGAACACACCAACCGCAAGTCGCCCCCGCTAAGGTCGAAAAGGTGAAGAGACCTACATTGTCCTCTGGGCGCGGTCGAGCGAAGAATGGACATACTTCACGACAGTCATGGGACAGACTATGTCTCCGCCAACTAAGGTTTACTGGCCAGGAAAAAGTAGGTCCAGCTGCTGGGAGTGTTGTTGACGAGGGTCTTCGCATGAGACCTGGACGAGATCAGCTGGTGCCAGTTGAACGAATAAGTCGGAGGAGCATGTACTGGCAGCAATGAAAAAACTTGCAGTAAGAGAGGAGAACACATAGTTGCTCGTTTCCCACTGCACAACATGACTCAAGATCATGACGAGCCAGTACGCGCATTCGGCCGCCGTATCACTGGACAAGCGAGTGTCTGCAAATTTGCACTGACGTGCCAGAACTGCGCAGAATGGAGTCGAATTACACCGATGGGTTCTCCGGGATGTGTTAGCTAGGGTCTGGCTGACAGCCGAGTTCAACCTCGATCTGCTCGGAGAGATCCGAACCAGGACATGGACTCTCGAGGAGGTGTTCAAGTTCGTGGAGGCCAAGGAGGCAGGCAACGCGATCGGCCAACAGACTTTTTGCAGTACAAGGTGCAGCTGCTGCACGCAAGCCTGTATCAGAGTAAAGCAAAAGATCATCAGCCATGGTTAGAGAGGGGGCCAAACGACATGACAGTGATACAGTCAGTCAGGTAGTATGCTCGATACTGTGGGTAGGTAGAGGTCAGCGGTAGAGGAGACCCACCTCATGGGAGAAAAAATACCTGTTCCTGCATGACGGTAAGACTTGCAGGAAGTGCAACGAGGCTGAGCATTCACTTGGAGGCGTATGTGCCGCAGTACGACCAATGGTGGGCCTGAGCAGTGTGTCAATGCGCGATAGAGCAGGCGGCGGCTTGATGTATTAATTAAACCGGATAAAGGCCCTTGGGCCTATTCCTGTAAACCGCTATTCTATTCTAGCCCTGGGCTCTGGCCTCCAGGCCCATTTGCTTGCCATTGCACAGTTACGAAGCTCCATAGCCATCTGCTTTCTGACTCCACTCCACTGTCTCCAGGAACAATGTGACGTCAATGTTATTCATACATTTTGAGCTTATTGAGTTATTAATTAGTCTTTATGTTATTGAGCTTTGGATACATCATGATGTACAAGTACAACACAACAAGTACTGATGTAGGATAAAAGATTGTTCCAACATTTACAACAACTTCACACTAACGTAATTTCACACTGGCCTAATTTCAGACGGTTGTGAGTCAATCCACAACTACATTGCTAAGCCAATCTCCTCCATTTTCTTTCTATTTAAATGCTAGTGTAAACTTGTGAAAATTATTTGCTAGGCCAGGTATTACAATTTGTACAACAAGAGTAAGCATTACAAAAGTTAATCTTATTCCCTTTGATATGGAAATGTAAATTCTAATAATAAACAGGGTACATGGTAATGGCAGTTTGCTAGGCAAAGGCAAAAATACCAACTACTAATATTCATTATTAACAGCATAGTTATCCCTGCTGAATTGTATTCCGTCTTATTCTTCGCAGCCAGTCTTAATTGCATCAATTTCTATCACGTGAAACAACTTCTGAAATTGTATGTCATCAATAATTAATCGCGTCTATCCTAACATTAAAATGTTGTTTCATGACAGGTTGGAGAGATATTTACAGCTGCAGGTGCAGCATTCAGCAAGCTTGGCGAGTTGACCATGCAGCTGCATGCTGCCGGTGAGCCTGCCCCTGCCAGGTACAGATGAAGATAACATCACGAAACAGTTCTTTTTTGCCATAATTCGTGCTAATATTTGTGCTCACTATACAATTGCATTTATAATATAAGTTAGACTGTTTAATATTTTCTAATTACAAATATAGTTTTATTAAGTAGTTCAGCTATTGATTTTTTTTAAAGAATAGTTTCGTTCTGTGTTTGCTTCTTTACTAAAACATGGTACTTTTCTTACATGTACAGGTAAAAAATAAACAATTTGTGTAAAAGATTCCTTATGCCAATTGCATTCATATAACATGTGCCTAATTTATTTTCAAGTGGCAAGTGGACTGATGGTGAAGTTGAAATGTTAAAGGATGCTGTTAAGAAATTTGGAGATGATTTGCACAAAATCAGTGATGTTATTAAAACCAGAACTATGTAAGTATCTTGTTTAAGCTAGTGCTTCACAACAAAATTAAAATTCCTTACTGTCGTGCACATATTTTGACATTATTCATTTCTTGCTACTAAACTGGAATGTTTACAGCATGTTAAATCAGTTATAATGCATTGAATCCTTACTATAAAGAGGCTAATCTTGTGTGTGTGTGTGCGTGCGTGCGTGCGTGCGTGCGTGCGTGCGTGCGTGCGTGCGTGCGTGCGTGCGTGCGTGTTTGTTTGACCTCGCTTTTCTCTGTGATTTTTCACTCAATCGCGGTAACTGAAGATATGTTCAGAATCACCACGTCTTGCAGGTGGTTCTGGCTGAGACAAAAATAAATAAAAAAATAAAAAAATAATGTTTGTATTAAGTCAAAATTCTATTCATCAATCCTATTCGTCAATAGATAGCGGTGCGTACGTACGTACACACACATACAACACACGCACATCACGTACGTGGGAATTACTTGGCGTCTCTTCACCGCTGCCGTAGCGTAGTCGGTAGGAGCTCGGTTTCATAACCCGAGATTCCAGGTTCTAACCTCAGCTGGGGAAAAAAATTCCCCCTTCACTTTTTGACTCTTTAGTATGTAATACAAGAGGATGGGATGGGATGGGATAGAAGAGGATGGGATGGGATGGCATGGGATGGCATGGGATGGGATGGGATAGGATGAGATGGGATGGCATGCCATGCGATGGATGGATGGATGGAGGGATGGCTGGCTGGATGGATGGAGGGATGGATGTATGGATGCATGGGTGCATGGATGGATGGATGGATAGATACATACTTAGATAGATAGATAGATCGATTTGGGGGTATTTTCAGTATGGTCACCAACTGAGCACTTTTTCACCCTGCTCACTTATAGAATTGCGCTCTTTGTTTCTTCCCAAAATGTTTTTTTGTTTCTGTTTTCCTTTCAGTTGCATGAAATATTTAACTTCAACTGTGTCACTTACATGAAGTTTATATTTTAAGGCACGATTTGGTGGTTGTACGGGTATTAAAGTCTGCTAGTACATATAAAGATTGCAATAACTGAGCAGGCATGGGTGGTGAACAACAGATTTAAGTAAATATGTTTGCCTCTTAAAACGATAATTTCTGGAGTAAATCGATGAATGAATAAATTTAGACAAATTTAGACCCACCTGTCAGAGTACATATTACTGATCACTTCAGCATAAAAATTATTACGAATTCCTGCTGTTATAGGCTATATAACAGTGAATGAACAGCAAACGTGCGCCTGCTGCTCTGCCTCTTCAGATTTGCGATAATGAAATTTTAAATGCTCCCACAAAACGAGTGCATGTAGTTACGCGATGCAAATATTTATAGACTGATACCTATCTGGAAATGTATACAATGAAAAACCTAGTGTTGAGACAGGGTTCTGGTCTCGCGAGAGCAAAAATCACGCGCTAGTTTTGTTGGCATATTATGTAAACAATATCATTTGAAATGGAGATTGTGCACATGTTGGTGAGAAGAATGATGTGTGAGTGTTCTATGACATGTTAGCCTTACTATACACAGTTGGATGGCATGCCAGGAGTACGGGTGAGTATCAGAACGGTCGATAAAATCTAAAAACGGTTGGTAAAAACATGAGAAATTCTGGCTTTAAATAATTACTTATAGCTGTGCCTTTTCTATTCGTTCCCAGATCTCAGATCAGAGGTGCTATTCGACGGAAATGTCAAGAAGACTACGGACCAACTGTGAAGCAGAGGAAGAGGGAATCGACTGGAACTGCAGCGGCTTCCCCAGGTCAGATTCAGTACGAAAACTATACGTTCACTCACTTGGTTATTATAAAAGCATTGAAATCGAATCAGTGAAAATTTCTTGCACATGTTCGAAAGTATAGATTACTATGAACTATGTATTTTCTTGAGCTGGTTTTTTTCTCACTACGTTACTGAGGTATGGGCCATGTGCTCGTGCATGACAAGAAAAATTCATCTTGTAAAACGGAGGGTGCAGCGATTGTCACGTTGATCGCAATAGTACGTTTATCTCGACACATCCATAATTTTCACTTGTAAATAGCATAATGCATTCCCCTTGCCCCTCACAGTTGAAGCTGCTCAGGCAACGGCGAGTAGTATGCTGGCAGCTGCTGCGAGGGCTGATGAGAAGGCTGCGGCGGCCGCAGCGACGGTGACGGTACAAACGACGGTGGCGCAAGTGGCGACGGTGTCGTCATCGGCGGTGCCTGGAAAGTCTCTCATACAGCCCGTGCGCGTCGTCACTTATCCAGCCGGCGGCATTACAGGTACTTTTCTTCCCAATTTTCCCGATGAACGAACACTATGTCGCTCGACACGTGTCACTGATTGAAATTTAATAGCCTCCCGTTCCCATCAGCGCAGGGTGTTAGCCAGGAAGAAAAATCAGGGAGTCTCAGTCTCACCATCTGCGCGAAGCGAGGATGCTGCGGACTGACAGCCCCCAAAAGAAAAAAAATGGGCCAAAAAGAAAAAAAAGGGATAAAATTACCCTCATGCCGTCTCTATCAAATTTCATCCGTCTCATCCAAGAATAGGCCGTCCAAAAGACGGGTAGACGGGTCTCTGGCTAACACACTGCATCAGCATGTGCTCCCGCCATTTTGTACCACCGTCACTGAGCAGTTTGTTGTTCTCACGTTGCAGCCATCAGACTGCAGCACAGCGGCGCGGTGGCGCCACTGACGGCGGTGAAACTCGGCCAGCTGCAGGTGCCCGGCATCAAGATTGAGCAGCGCGCCCTGCAGCCGTCGACGCAGGTTGAGCAGCGCCCCCTGCAGCCGTCGACGCAGGTTGTACAGGTGCCACAGGTGCGCAGCACCAAGGTCGAGGACGTCTCCTAATGGCGCGTCGCCGGCCTCATATCTCACGTCGCGACGCGCTTTCTCGTTTTTACGCGTAGGCCGAGTGACGCGTCGGCGCGCACGTGATATCAAGCCTCGTAGCAGAGCACTACGCTGCTTACCATTTGAGATGTGAAGAACGTGGCGGGGTTGGGGGGTGGGGGGTGGAATCCCACGTCTAGGGTGTACTCTGTCTATGCCTCGTGAAAGGGAACAGGTTTCAGGTCAGGTGAGTTGAGCTGGTAAATGTGAATCTGTGCGGTAGATGTACGTCCACTGTGTGCGGAGTGGAAGTGGATATCATCGTGAGTCTTGTGCATCGCCGTTTACTGATATTTTTGTTATTGTTCGCTTGCTGTGTGCTGATATCTAATGGAAAAGAAATTATAACACCAGTGGTAAAACGTCAATAATGAAAAGTGAACTTGTCGAGAATGTGGAAAATTAGCTCAGTTTACCTGATTTTACCAATTCAGGTGCAATCGTTGGTTTTAAAGGGAAAAATACTTGGGTGCACTCCATGAATACACCAGTGCAAACATGCATGTATGTTCTTACTCGTTTTAATGGCCATTTGGAATGTACATCTATTTATAGTATGTTTATAGTCTGCATTTTATTCACATTCTGGATTAAAAGTCGCCATCTAAAGGTAATTCTGTTGGCATGTATAGTACTGCCTTCTATGGGTCAACACGTTTTCAAATGTTATCGTTTAAGACATTATTATACACGTCTGGAATTTGCTAATCCGGCCTCGGGTGACCGTAAGTCACATAGAGAAACTTCATAAATATGTAAATATTATCATGTAATATGACGGAGTTGTGTAGGGGATGTTAGATTCCATTAAAATCTCTGTTAGAAGGCAGATCAAGATTTTTCGTTGTTAGTCTGTAGTCACATTATTAATCTCTGCTAGTTGTCATTAGTTGCTAGTCTTCGGCTGGGTATAGACTACCGACTTTTTGTTGTCAAATTGGCGAATTGGACCAATTTCGCAATTATACAACCAATAATCGGCAGTATAAACGCAAAAGTCGCACGAGCAACTGGTTGTAGCGTGGGTTGTGAGCTCGTGTAACAGGCACGTGTGATCGTATAGTGTCCAGGTTCGTTTGTACAACAGATACGTGTGCAATTGCACTTAAGCCACAGACAGTATAATGCTATAACCACAGTATAATGCTATACGGTTACTCTATTCTTTAATGAACAACATCATATTGACAATTACATGCAATACATAGGTGGCTGCGCAAGCCAACCAATAAATACGATACAATACATACAATACATATCTTATACACCAGGCACATACAGACAAGCAACTGGTTTCAGGGGCGTGTACAGGATTTGGACCAGGGGGGGGGGGGTCTAACCGTAACCCAAACTTGCGAGCACGCGAAGGGGAAATGTTTGAAATTAGACCCCCTCAGATGCGTTTTCTGCGCGAGCAGGAGGGGGGGGAGTCCGGACCTCCTGGACCCCCCCCCTGTACACGCCCCTGGGTTTACAAATGCAGTACATATTTACGAGCGTGGAGTTCTGCAGGGCGCAGGCAGGTCCTGGCGGTGTCCGGCGGCAACGGTAGCAGCGAGCGGCAGGTGAGAGCAGCGCGGGTGCTGACAGCGTCTGTCAGCACCGTCGAACTGTGTCTGTCTTATTGTCGAAACTGTTATGTATTTATACATCTGGAGGAATGCATGGCCCAAGTGTGGGCAAGGCCTATAGTTGCGTGCGATGTGCAATCCTGTGTCCTTCTCCAGAATTTTATGGACAACTGAAGGTGAGATTTCCTTCTCTAGCGTGAGAACGGCAGCTGGAAGCTTCTAGAAATCCTTGGGAATCGCGGCAGTTCGATTCATGTTCTCATAGTTCACATAGTACACATTTGTCGGCGGCGTTCGTTGTTTGTTCTTTATCAGTCGGCATGCGACATCAAGGTGTGATGTCCTTCTATAGGTACTAAAATGTCATAGTGTCGCCTTGTGTAGGTGATTACTTTCTCCGTCTGCTGTGCTCTCTGTTCTCTTCTTTTGTTGTGTCACGCGCGAGACACGCGTGCGGCGTGTGCTGTTGGTGACGAGAGCAGGACCTGGTGTCGCTTGTTACCTTGGCTGTTACTAAAATAACCTATGACGTGATCTGCTTACGTTTAATGACCCGTGTCGCTGGGTTTTATACTAGGTTAATTAATTCGATATCTACGTCATTACATGGTTGATAGCAACTAGTTGGGAGATTAGAACATTTTCGCCAACGAGTTGCTATCGACCAGTTGCTCGCGTGACTTTTGAGTTAACACTGCCAATTGTCGTCTGTATAGTTGCAAAATTGCTCCAACTCGCCAATTTGACAACATAAAGTCGGTATGGTAAACCCAGCATTAGAGCTGTAGTTCCTATACGCAATGACCATCGTCCACGTTTCAATAAATAACATTCACTGTTTTGTTGATGTGAAATGCCAATGACATACATATGCATTGTAGTAATTTCAGCAAAAACAAATTGTAAACTTAATGCGGCCGTGCCACAATAAATCATATTAATGCGATTTTAGTTGTGATTTTATACTTTTGTAAACCCTACACTAGCGACCGTATATTTCATCGTCCTGGTGGATGTGATACTGTAGTAGGGTCACAGAAGGCAAGATGTTGCACGATGTAAACAGACAACCGGTTGATTTGGTTTGCAAACCGATATAGCTTCGAAAAAGTCGTGGTAAAAGAGACGACTGTGGTAGAAATGGTAAAAATCAATCTTATATGAAAAGAAACGAAAACAAGCAGTCTCGCATTATCACGATTCATAAATACTTATAGTGACATGGATTTGAATGTGGCATCCATTTGAGCAATTTGTTCCTCATCAAATTCAACGTGTCCGTTTTCCTATGCTGTACTAAAAGCAGTTTGTCTTAAAGGAGTGGTGTTCCTGTTGTCATTTATATTCAACATGACATAATTATTACGCCACCTACAGCTTAGACGCGTTTCTCGTTGTCCCCGTGCAGGAAAAAGACGAGGAACACGTGTGGGCTGAACATGTGCTGTATTTCCCGTAATAAAACTACCAAAGAGGCAACCTGAGACCATTACTACGCGCTAATTTATAACATCATAACATTTATCTAAGTTTAGTGTTCAATTTAATCGTGGAAGCCCCCCCCATCCCGTTTACTGTAGTGGAGCGTATTTCTGGCGTACATAGGTATTAGGTAGGCATGTACGTGATCACTATAGTTATAGATATTATCAGAAGTAGATAATAGGGACACCTAATAGGGTTCCCTATTATCTACTTCTGATATTATACACACCTTGTAAATACTTTGTTGTTGTTGATATTATATACACCTCGTATGATTCGCATTTGTCAAGCAGCTGAGTGAGTAACAGTTCGTGATTTATTTGCCTTAAAATGTGTATTCACTCATTCACTCACTCACTTACTCACTCACTCACTCACTCACTCACTCACTCACTCACTCACTCACTCACTCACTCACTCACTCACTCACTCACTCACTCACTCACTCACTCACTCACTCACTCACTCACTCGACCACCTGCTCTTGAACCACTCACTCACTCACTAGAAACCTGAAAAGTGTTGCAACTACGTCTGTTTGAAAAATCTCTGAAAAAGCTTTTAAGACTAAATTACTGTTGGGCGTATAACTTTATTGCTCATCACATTTTATAATATCGTATATTCATCTACAATCGTTAATGCTACTTCTGGTTTACACAAACACATTTTCTTGGTGCCACATAATTAAATTTGATGAGTCAATTATAATGATTATAATATATATGTATATATGCGAATGTGATCACAGTTATGCGAGCTTATGTGCCACGTTCATACTCGTGTAGAATGGCTTCTGAGCGAGTGTAGTTGATTAGTAAAATGAAGTTGAATTAACCACGGATACCATACACACACACAATCAGAGCGTTTTTAGGTCATATTGTGGCCATTGATGTACGCTAGAGTTCCTTTATATAGAGAGTTCCTCTCTATAAAGGGACTCTATATACTGTTCCCTAGAGTCCCTTTATATAGAGGGGATACCATACACGGGCCATAACCACGGATACCATACACACACACAATCAGTGCGTTTTTAGGTCATAGGAATATTGTGGTCATTGATGTACGCTAGAGTCCCTTTATATAGAGAGTTCCTCTATATTAAGGGACTCTACTGTTCCTGTGACTGGCGCGCACTCTAGCGGGCTGGCATTTATTCCCATGGTAAATTGTTCAGGTCGACGTTTCCCCCGCATAAGATGATGCCGACCTTTTCTAGGTGGGGCGCCACCTGCGCTAGCTTTCCCGAGAGCAGTGCAGCAACAGGAGCGGCTGCACTGGTCTCAATAACGAGCTGGAAAGAAAACGGAAATTAATTGGTATTTTATTAAATAGAAAAAAACTACAATACCAAACTCCTTCCGCTAGTCGCTAGCAGAGCAAAAAGGTATCAAGCCGCGAAATGAATGCTAATTGACAGGGGCGGGAGGGTCGAGGGAGAGAGTAGGAAAGAAAGACTGTGACATAGAAGGATGAGAGAGAGAGAGAGAGAGAGAGAGGAGTTGGGGCGACAAAGAAAGGGCGAGACAGACGAGTGTGAGAAGGGGAGAGAGGAGAAATTATCATAGTAGAGTCATTTTTTCACGAATTTCTATGATAAATATAATAAAGGTTGCATAGCATATCTTATATATCTGAATATTCAAATGTTTGCTTGATTCATTTAATATGAGTAATTTGACATAGAGAGTATGACAAATGTACTTAAAAAGTACCTAAAAATTCTCAAATAAAAGTGCGACATTTTTTAAAGATTGGTTGCTTATACAAACACCAAGGGAAACGTAAGTTACTGTGGGCACAGAAACACTCTGGGGTCTGAATGGCCCACTGTAACCCATAGTAGCTGGAGCGTTATATATTTTCCATTCATAATTGCATGGCAGTGAATGCACGTATAGTTGCTCCAAATCAAGTAAAGTTACGGCAAATTGTTTCCATATCTCACCTTCATTCTCGTCCAGATGAACTTCATAGCATCAATTATTTCGGTATCATTCTAAAATATTCAAATTATTAAATTATTAGGCCTACATCGGAGTTTTGCCGTGGCACGGTAATTTATAGAGGGAATCTAATTTGCTTCCTGGAGATTCGCTTCATGGTTGCATTTTTACTATCTAGTATAAACTAAGGTGATGATCTCTTGCGATCAATCTTGCGACACGTTGCTTATATCGCTACTTGCGCCAGAAGTCTAGCTAATTTATGGTCTGTCTGTCTCTGGAATTTACATGGCGGCTTCACATTAAAATCGCTTACCACAGTTAAAACGTTTTTTTCGGCGTTTTCACATAATATAGGCATGTTGTGTTTTCCAACTTGCTTGCAGCGGATTCCGTCGGCAACGGTAGCGACATACGATGAGTCGTTCGCATCTCGTTGCCCTAGTAACGTAAACACATCAGTAGCTGTGATCGAGTCTATATAATGAGCGGTATAATCTCCGTAAGTTTTCGCGTACTCACCTAATCAATGGTGATGTTTCAAATAGTTCAATAGTTTCGCGTGAACGCACCCACAATCACGCACGCGCGTATACGTGCGTACGCACGCACGCACGCACGCACGCACGCACGCACGCACGCACCGCCACGAGTACTGCTATGGGTTAGTCCCCGACACAGGTGTGCGTGTCATTCCGGAATAACGACTATCGTAGTCTCACCTGCTCGCAGGTATTTCTCTAACGCTTTCCCTTCGGGCTCTACTAGATATACTGAAAGTGGACAATAAAACCATCCGTTAAGCTATGACTCCACTCACGCAGGATAGGGCGCAGGTCGACGTTCTGCTTCCAATTCTTCAAGCCACGTCATATATATTTAAATTAAAACGCAGCGATCTCACCGTGTTTTACCAGAGTCTCAGTCACTCTGTCTTGGCGCGTTTATTTTGTTCACTGCTAGAATGTATACCTCCGTGTGGAGAAAAGTTTTACACGCGAATCGAGCTGAACGGTTATCAGAAATCGTTTTACTTTACTTTTACGACTGATCCCGTCGCGAGAGAGGTTCGGCGTTTTCGTCCAATTACATCCTCATATGATTTTACTCCGTTCTACTGATTAGATTTGGAGAGTTTCTAGAGGGGTTTATCTGTTTATTCATGCGCAATTTTACTATAGTTATTTGTATATTTTTATAGTAAATGAGTGCATATTACTAATTCGTAGGTCCACTTTTTCGACGAACGTTAATCACATAAATTACGAGCTACCTTTGCATGATGGTCGCATAGCTTTAACTGTGAGGGCCACTCCGGCGGCCATTCCACCGCCTCCGATGCAAACCAACATGGCATCCAAATCGGGAACCTGCTCCAGAAATTCCATCGCCATCGTGCCCTGAATAGTTTGATGTAAAGTTTAGTGTGTTACTATAGGATTGTGCATGCACGTTTCCGATGCAATAATAATGGGAACAGTACTTTCACAGACAACACACACTGATGATTCCCTCATAACTAAATAAGTGAAGCAACAATTAATCATTAATAATAATCGCCTTTTATGCATCAGTAGGTACTTATTGACAATGAAATATATAAGCTGTTATTTAGCACTAAGAATACATTTTCATACTGAACCCCACATAATCGTCCGTAACTGTACGATTATTGTCTGTTCGTCCATATTTAGCGACATATATGTTGTTTTACCTGACCAGCAATAACGTCCACGTTATCGAAGGAGTGAATCAGTGCTCTTCCTGTCTTTGCGCATATCGCAGCAGCGCACTCTTCTCTGGTTTGCGAAAACAATTATAGTCTTGATATGAAAGCAACCACAGTAACCTTAATCCTGTATTAGCGTCCACGAGAAACGGTAAGCTGATTGGCGTACTAACTTTTAGCCCGTGTCAGTTTTGCACACACACACTATCGCACACCTAGGTAGTTGGTCTTTTTAATCCGTGTCATTGTAGCTTTCTAGTAATATTAATATCTCCCTGCTAATGTAAATTCCTAATAAAAATTACTCGTGTGTTTATGTGTATGCGTGCGCGCGTGTCAGCGCGCGTGCGTGCGTGCGTGTGTTGGGGTAGATACAATAATGTAACCCAAACCCAAGAGGATAGGGTCCCCTTGCCCAACCCTATGGTGTAATAATGTAACCCAATAATTGTAACCCAATAAATGTAATAATGTAACCCAACCCTTGCCCCCAACCCTATCCTCTTGGGTTTGGGTTACATTATTGTATCTAGTGTTGGGGTAGCGCAGTCGTGAGTGTACCTGTCACCTACATCAACATGGTTTGTTTACATGCATGGTTTGTTATATAGTGCTCTAAGTAGATAACACGACGTCTTTAAATTTATGCTGTGTGCATATCGGAGGGTTAATAAGAAATCAGCAATGAAACAACTCAACTATACGATGAAACAAAAGCCATTTTGGCCAACCATGCAAGCGAATGCATCAGCTCCATATGATCAGAAGTTAGATAATAAGGGATCCCTATTATCTACTTCTGATATGATGCGCTACAACAGACAGCGTGCATTATAGCCACGCTCGAAGTGCCTGTGGGCTACACACACACACACGCCGCCGTCGGGAAAACCTCGTGCTGACAAAACACTCATACAACCGCTAACCTCGTTGTGTGCCAAATGCCCGGGAAAATGCGAAAAGCGTATTAAAAATCGCGAAGACTACGCGAAGATCCCAAATTCAACTGGAATGGATAACGCGTTGAATTAACTTACCTGGATTTCATGTTTGGCTCGCAGAAAACGACCTCTGCTCCGTAGCTCTTCATCGCCCGGATCTTCGCCTCCGATGCGTTACTTGGACAGGCGACGGTACACGGCAGTCCGTAGCGCCTAGCAACCCATGCTACCGCCTGTGCGTTGTTACCGCTGCTGTGGGTAACCTGCAAGGATTATATGATAGATGTATGTGTGTGTATGCGATGTATGCGGTGTGTGGATGTATGCGTGTGTATGCGCACCCGATTCGTCATTCTCTCTCGAGCTAAAAGCTTATTGAAATGAATTACAGTAGTTCCCCGCGTTCCAATAACTTGCGGGTTACATAAATTCGTCCATGCGTAATTCGCGCCCATGAGTTATTACCATCTTAGAGCGAGATACGAAACGAGAATTGACTTTTTACGTAATTTGACGGAAAGGAATTAACGGGGTTTCTCTCCAAAAATTATTCCCTTTCCTGTGTCCATTGCGGAATTTCGCAATACGAATGTTGTTTTTTCTTTAATATTCATTATTTTCGTAACGCCGCGTGTTACTGTAGATTTCATTTCATCGATTTCAACACGTTTGAAGCGGAAATGTAACCCTAACAGAATTATCGCACTCATGGCGCCTTGAAATGAAACGCAATCTATTACAATCTATTATTCGGGTGATGTCGTAAACTTTATCGTTTTTATAATTGCTGGGATATAAACTTTTATCGAAAACGCTATGAATTGAGTGTGCGTTGGTGTGCTGCGTTGGTGCGTTGGTGCAGTGAGAGTTAGTTGGCCATCGTACTCAGAAATAATTATTTTTACCGCGGTAAAAATAATTTATCCGCGGTAAAATTATAAATCTTTTACCCAATCAAAGTCCTTGTTACACATAATTTAACCGCGGTAAAAATAATTGATATAATTAAATAAATCAAAATAATTATGACCTAGTAAAAATATTTATTTCTGAGTACGATGGCCAACCATATGCGTA